AAGTGCATGCCTAATATGAAAAATCAGGAATTTACTCATCATCATTAGACGTGCGTCTGAAATTGTTTACCCAACTGGGCAGAAAATCATGATAGTATCCTGACCGGGAATAGTTTTTTCATAGGTTCTGAGTTGACGTTGGCAATGCGTTATGCGGAGCCGTGTGCCGTCTGCGGCTAACTTGCCGTAACGCTACTTGTTGCACCGCGTCGACACCCATACTGCCGCGCTAAGGAGAAACGCCGTATGAACATTCGAGAGTTGCCAAATTTCTCCGGGTAAAACATGTATTTTGTAGAAAAATTATGCATATTTTTCCTTGAAATTTTTAGATATTTTAGAATCAATTGCGTACAAAATTGTCTGAAAATGTTGAAGACAATTATTCACAAATTTCCCAGGAAATTTCATTTCTATTGAAGGAAATATGGCAACCACTGAATGCTCATACGGCGTTCTTCCTCAGCACGGCAGCATACCTGCTTCACCCATGGCTTCATTCATTACCCCACATTCATACGCAGCTAAATCCTTCAACGCAACTTGTGACGCCTTGCAAAGTTAGGATCTTGGATGTGCATGAAACTTTTTTCAGATTTTTTAGTATTTGAGGGTAGTCGAACTTGTTGATTTTCCCCGGACCGTAGTTGTAGGAAACTAGAGGGGTGCGCCTTTTCCCGCCCTCCTCAGCGATCTGCATGTCTGCATGTCAACTTTCGAGAGCTTGGAGCTTTCAAAGACTTATCGTCTATAAAATACCAGATTCACGAGCAAGGAATCTGAGTCGATGGTTTATTTAATTACCCATTTCCGATACTTATTACTAGTCGGAGTGGAAAACTTGTATTAAACGCAAAGTTGCTAGATTATGCAATTCGATGTAGATATTTTACACGGGTTTAAAAGAGGGAAAGTGCTGATTTTTCAACATTGTCTGGCTATTATGATTAAGCATACAACTTGTCCACGAGAATTTAAGCGGTTTCCCCTGTAAAACGAAAAGATTTGCGTAGTATATACCAAGTGACAATTTTTTTTTTTTTTTTTTTTTTTTTTTTTTTTTTTTTTAAATATTTATTAGCACGTCTTTGGAAAGTGACAATTAACGCAAGTGGATTTTTTTCTTAAACAACCTATTATAAATTTTCATTTAAGTAAAATTTTAAAAATTGGAAATAAGATCACACGAAACATACCTCCATTTGCCCCATGACTTTGTTTCTGTAATTTGAGATCCCCTTTTCAAAGAACGTAAAAATATTCCTCATTTTCAAAACCGTGTAATTTTTTTTTATTTTTGTACGTAAACCTACTTAATATGAAACTATATGTATGTGGTAAGCGAAGCTTACAAATAAACTTCTCAAAGAATGTAAAAATATTTCTCATCTTCGAAACCGTGTATTAATTTTTTTTTTTTTTCATTTTTCTACGTAAACCTACTTAATACGAAACCACATGTATGTGGTAAGCGAAGCTTGTGGCCTGAGGCTTTCTTATCTGCTGTGCTATTGCGCGGTTTGTTTCAGCGTGGGATTCGGCGGAGCATGTCAGAATGCAACATCCTGCCGCAAACTGCCCGAAACGAGTAAAAAGTTGGAGTTAGTAGCTTTCAAAGCATTTCTCTTTATCTTTAAATTGTCAGTAGACGTGACTGACAATGCCCGAGCGAAAAGCATGTTTCAGTGCTCAACGTCTATTCTGAGTATTAACAATTCAAATCGCGAGTGCCTCAATTGAACTTATCTCTTTCTCTGCCTTTTACGCTGTTCACAGCAACCGCAATTTACATTTTTCCTAGCCTCCGCTACCATCACACTTCGTCATTGTCTCTAAAGGAGGAATTCATTTGCTCCGTGCTGGACCCTGTCAGAGCTTTTATTTTAACTCGCTCTTGCTTAAAAATTCTACACTCGAAGCGTTCCGTTGAAATGAATATATTTTTGGTCCACCGATAAAATTTTCAAAAAACTTGGACAAAGGCTAATGTGGGAACTCGAAATGAGCCATGAATTGTAGTTCCTAATCGCAAAATGTAGTTCAACTGTATGTTTTCTTTGACATTTTTTTTTTCAAAATACTCATCAGCCGCAATGCAAAACTCAGTTGACGAACAAAAAGCACAAGCTGTCACTTACATCAAAAGCGTATTTTATTTAGAGGTTCGGTACTACTTTTGTGACCGAACCTCCGAGCTGCCATTCTATTTTAGTTTGGAACATCCGATTCGGTGATTAACGAATCGCAACGTAGCTGCGTGATTGTGGTACCACCTCGCTTGGTGGTTCCGAATAAGGTTTGACCTATCGAAAACCAACGGATCTGATCGGTCGAATCTGGTAACAACGGTGTCCACTGGTGTTGGTGATTGATGAGACAAACCGGGACAGAACTTCCCGAAGGTTTGGAACAAAAATAAAATTCGCTTCAAAATTGGTTTCGCGAATCTGCGCCGCGGTTGGGTTATGCTTTTTATGAAGTGACTTCACGTTCGCGGGACGGTCAGTAGTGGCGTGGCAAGCTTTGCGATGAATCGATTGATCTGCCATTTGAGGCTATGGAAAAGTATCGATAAACAAGATGTTCACGACGAACACCTTAATAATCGATTCTTTACCATACTTACAGATGAGGAATTATCGACAATCGATTGTTCGCGCCTCGCCACTGACGGTGAGCCGCGATTCGCGAGAGGCGCACCCTGTTTTTGTTGCCCGCACACATCGAGAACTGGGTATTCAAATCAGTCGGAACCTTGGGCTGTCGATCGACTCTACTACTCTATAGGTTAAGGCAGTGCTAATTTGCAGCTCAATCACGACTTCTTTACGACTTTGTTGCCGTATTGCACTGGAGGTTTGCAAGCCCTTTTCGTGAATATAATAACACATCGAGAAACTGCAGTAACCGAGACCAATGTTCTTTTTTCAGATAAGAGGAATAGATTGAATCAAAATCAACCTAACTGCATTTTATGCTCCCTCGTTTCCTCTTATGTTTCATTTTTTCACATGAAAACTACATCAGAACCCTTTGAAACTTTTTGCAGATTTCTCGTTTAGTATGAAGAATATACTTTCGATCCAATGTTCCTTAATTTTTTGGTGAAAAAAGGAAACTTGAGAGAAAATTAGGCAACAACTGATATACTTGGGCCTATGCTGCCTAACGTCATACAGATAATAGAGTACCTAGTCTCTACCGTTTTTCATTATCAAATTATTTCTTCAAATTTAAAGATTTGGATGATTTAAGGAACTCTTCGGAACATGGGCTTGCAAATCGCACAGAAAATTTTGTTGCATCCGGCAACTTTGTAATCATTTTTGGGGCATTTAAAAGGTCGGGTCCAATTATTTTGTTACAATTTCTTACGAATCATTTTTTATCCTTTTTTCATGTGTGTATCTACAGTTGGAAATGTTTTGAGACGGGTACACGTAAAATATTTTCTTTCCGTGTAGCTGTAGACAAGCTTTATAATTAAACATAAAGCGACCATAATAATTAATTTTTCCATAAAATTGGCAACAATATATGCATTTTTGTTACCCACCCTGCGACTATGCGATGATGTCGCCCAGCGCTGCCATCTTTGTGCAAATGATATGTTTTTTGCCTCTGAAAATATATCTTATTAAATTATTAAAGCCCATCATTATAGAAAGAGAAAATGAGTCACAAGAACAGGAAAGCGAAAGAAGACTTGAACAAAAAATAAGAGCTCGCTAAAAACTTCAATCGACACAATTTTCCAAGATTGTGAAATTAAGACTTGAACACTAATGAAGAAACCCTATTTTTTTCATCAAGCCGCGGTATTGTAATACAATCTTATAATCATAGTTAAGAACTGTATATCTTGAACCAATTAATTGGTCGTTCTGATTACTCGTATAAAATATATTATGCTCGATTTCAATTTGAACGTTGCTGATTTCAGATTATCCACAACGATTCAAGATACCTTCGAAATCCTGCAGACAGCTTTAAAGCGTCAGGTCATCTAACTTGTTCAATGACCGGTCGAAAGGGAATTTCCTTAAAATTTTGCAGTGTCTGTTTTAATGACTTCACCGCACTATTAGGCAATATCGCCAACATTAATGAGACTGTAGGCCGATGATTTACGCGATGGATATTGCACTATTATTGCGTTTATCGGGTTCCGCGGTAAAATCACCGGTGATCACAATCCTTGAGGAAAACCGAAACGCACCCATAGAGGCGAATTTGTACTGTCAGTTGGAGCAACCGTTCTGCACTTCTAGATGGATTTTTAATGACCTTTGGGGCCATTATTGAGATTTTGCTACATGCTCTCCTCCCCTCGTGTTCTTTGTAGGAATCGGTTTTTTTTAGCAATTGTTCGGTACCCCAGGCAGCAGTGATAACGCTAAGTTGCAATTTGATCGGAGAATGTACAGCGGTTTTTATTGCAGTCGATTCATTGCAATATTATCGGATAAAAATTGCGATAAATTGCGATTTCGTCGCATAAATTTGCAATAAATTCAAGACTCCATCCTCGACGATGTATCGCAATATTATGGAACAAAAAATCGTGATAAATTGAGATAAAATTTTAATTCTATCGAACGCAATTTTATGGGATAAAAATGTGACAAGATTGAGAATAATCGCTTCAATGTTGCATATCCTAGTGATTTTATTCAAAAAATCGTTACTTAATTTCAAAATATCGCGATTTTACCGTTGAAAAATGCCACTTGGGACCTAGATTCTGCTTTTCCCTCCGATTCATTTTTTGCTGGTTGTTTCCAATTATGCAACACATCAACCGCAGAATACGGGAGTAAAATCAAGGCAGTTCCTTATGTAACGAACCTGTCATTTGCAGGGTCCGCCGGGCTCATGTCCGGTGCTGAAACTGACACACCTGGCAACTTTGTGGTCTCTTCTCTCTCTCTGTATGCATGCTATCTCACCTGTTCACACTTGTCGAGGCACGGAGAGGAGGCGCTAAAGACAACAAAACAATTAGACTCATTTGTGTCGCTTGATTCGCCAGGAGTGGGACACGAAGTAGTTTCCGCGGATTCGCAACCCCTCTCTCGCTGAATGGTACCTGTTCTTTCCGTTATCGTACATCGAACCCGGTTTTTGTTCGGACATTCCGTCGTTTGTTCATTTATTTACGGTTTTAAGTGCCAGTTTTTACTTGGGAATCTCCTCGCTTTCAGGACTGTCACTGTGCGTGTGTTTTGCAATTAAGTGGCCGGGTGGCTTTCAATACAGAATACTTCTAGACGCGAGTCTCTCGCGAGAAATATTATTAAGCGATGAAAAAGCTGGACGGTTCCACTATCATGAGACTCTTTAGAGTCTGTGCGGAAGGGATTTAGAAATGCCAAATTAGGTTTCATTTTGACTATATATACAGAAAGATTCTTGATATTGACAGCCTTTTGAATTTGGCATCCATCCGTGTAAAGTGTTTGCATCATGGAAGAAAAAGGTTTGCCTGATCAGTCTTTGTTGACGAATGAAACTGTGGATTTAAAACAGGCTTTCAAAGGCCGTTTACCGGATGTTTCAGTTTTACCGTCGATAAGGTGAGAACATAAGGAAACCTCAAAAGTGAAACTTAGCCTTTAAGCTTTCCCTTATTCGCTTTCCTTTCATGTTAACAGGAAAATAATACTGGATTAACAGAAATGTAACAAATTTCTTGTAATCATTTGAACGTATGGGTGTTTTACAGGAGAAGAAAAGATCTCGAGATTATTATAGATGACTATGTGACTAAAATGAGAGTTTGTGCTTGAGTGCCGCCTCTTCGGGTCGTATCTCATGAACCCTCAATGCACTCATCGGCTCCACAGAAAGTAGTTTTCTGGAGAGAATGAGTCAGTCGCACGTGTCAAAAAATCAATTTGTAATAGTTGAAAGTCGCAGATCAGCAAGAAGAACTTTGTAAAGGTTGCATTTGGGGTTACTACACACAACAAGCTGTGGTGTGAATTGAGAACTGCAGTTCCGGTAGCCAAGATGGTGATCTCAGGCTGATGAAGTATTCTATCCGTTGCATTTTTCTTCTCTCTTCCTTTGGAGGCATTCCATTCGACACCTGCATGTTACCATTCCTAATCTCATGCACCTATGCCTTCTTTGAGATCTTCTAATTTAAATATTTGTAGTTTATCAAGCCGGTTCTTTTTCCGCCGGTTCAATATTCAAAGGATTAGAGAAGATCAATCAATTGATGAGAATCACTGAGTTTTAGAATTTTTCTTTAAGAAAATCGCTAGAAGCCATATCAAACACGTCAAGTATTCGCACACAGAATTTAAGCAAAAAACTTTCTGAGAAAATTCCAAAAGTTCGTTCCAAGTTCAAATTGTAAATAGCTTTGTCATTCGATTTGCGATCCCTCAGGACGTGGTTCCAAAGTCATTTTAAAGCGTCTTTCCATTAAATATTCTGCAATAATTCCTGACTTGCCGCAACGTGCTAATGACCGTAGGAAAAGTTTAAAAACATTTCCTAGAATTTAGATATCATCAATCGATTGATCGACTATAAATTTATCCTTAATAGTGCTGAAGATCCACCTAAGTACAAAGAAATTGGATAAAACCAGGGCCGGATTTACCTACTTGCCGCCCCCTTTTCTTTCGTTTTGAAACATCAATAAAAACCGTCAAGTGAACGTGCCGGAGGGGGAGGGGAGGGGTGCATAAGACGCGTTTACTGGTGTTGCACACATTTTTTGCAAAAGCCCTGTCAACACTACCAGCAAAAGTTCACGGAACTTTGCGCAAAAGTTAAGTTCCGTAAACCTATCTCTGTGTGAACAAGGCCCTCCATTTGTAAGAAATGAACGTAAAAATTATGCAAGAACAAACATAAATGTGGTTTAATAATTTTAACCTCCGCCGCCGCGCCGCGCTAACCGCACTGTGTTTGACGCAATGCGTGAAGTATTCATGAAGTCTAGTAGGCGCTATGCGTTGCACGTCAACCGCTGCCCTGCTGACCGCACTGTATTTGACGCAATGCGTGAAGTATTCATGCAGTCTTGCAGGTGCTGATATGTGTTACATGCCAACCGCCGCGCTAAGGACTTCTCCTTTTCCTCTCAAGTCCTCATCATCCACACTCATATGCATATCATGCTCTCTGCGCCGCGTCGCTCCATGCCAAATTGCGTGTTTCCTTGTGTCACCGAAGACGCTTTTCTCGTTTGTATAATTTTTTGTCTGAATCCGATTTTTTTTATACCTATTATATTTAAAAAAATTGCAAGATTTGCCGCCCCCCAAATTTGCCGCCATGGGCCGTGGCCCATGTGGCCACCCCCTCAATCCGGCCCTGGATAAAACCACACAATAAAAAAAAATAAAAAATAACCGACATTTTGTGATAATATGGAAAGGAGGAAAAGGTAGGAAAGGAGATAGAACACAAATTGACCTGAACGCGCGGTTAAATTTTTTTTTTTTTACTTTCTTTGGGTTGTTTCGACCTAGTCTTCGGGTGGATATTTGCAACCAAGTTAAACATCAGGCTCGAGACTCCAGGATAGAACCTGTTCTATGCTATGTACTCTATGCTCATCGTATGTATGTTGAGACAAATGTCAATCTCTGTTTACCTCCAAATCAGCACCACTCAACAGAATAATACATGCAGCCAGATGTCCCCACTTATGAGCGGTGACCCAAGCAATACTTGACTTTCGTCTCAACATACGATGAGTCCGCTCTAGATATCCGAAGTTTACCCCGTTTACTGACCCAGCTTGGCTGTCATGTTACAGGGGCCGTATGCGGGCGGATAGCGTTCTGTTGAGGAAGCAGCGGAAGCGGGCGGTGATGAAGAACGGGGACTACAACATCGTGCAGATCAACGTCTCGGAGCGGCGGCGGCGCTACCTCCTGGACCTCTTCACCACCCTCGTCGACGCCCAGTGGCGGTGGACCCTCTTCGTCTTCACCATGAGCTTCGTGCTCAGCTGGTCCGGGTTCGGATCCCTCTGGTGGCTCATCGCCTTCACCCACGGCGACTTCGAGCCGGAGAACCTCGGCAACGAGACCTGGGTCCCCTGCGTGAGCAACATCCACTCCCTCACCTCCGCCTTCCTCTTCAGCATCGAGACCCAGCACACCATCGGCTACGGCTCCCGCTACCCCACCGAGGACTGCCCCGAGGCCGTCATCATGGTCGTCATACAGAGCATCACTGGCATGATGATCCAGGTTAGTATCTTGTACATATTATGCATTTCTTCCATAGAGTACATAGAGTCGTCATGTAAGTGGGAGAGCTGGCGCCATGTTCTGCTCGACGAATTCCGGGCCCGGTGTGCGCCGAGTTCGGGTCGCTTTTTCGGTACATTTTCGATCCGAAATGGCGGTGTGGAATACGTGGTAATTCCTATCTCCTTTGTTGTTGTTGTCATCGGATGGCCGGGTACCCGTCCCGTATATCGCAAACAATCGGTTATGTATCGAAAAAGTGACTCGGCGTCACACAGGAGTCTCGGAATTCGGGACATGGAAAATGCTTAAAAGTGGCGCCAGCTCTCCCACTTACATGACGACTCTATGTACTCTATGATTTCTTCGGACGCATTTCTTCTTCTTTTTTGCGTATTTGAACTCGTTTATTGCGGTTTCACCTCGTTTGAAAAATTCCTGCGGAGCAAGTACCCTCCGTTAATTTCAAGAATGCAAGAATTGAAAATTACTGAAGAAGCTCACTTACTCCCCTGTACATTATAGATCCAATTTACGTCTGGTTTATCCGCTCAGCGGGCCGATTATTGAAATTGATAGACATAGGCAGTATTGAGCGATCCTAATGGTTGAAATGGGTGGGTTCCCAAAGACTTAGGGAGAAAATGATGGACTAACTATAGGGTCCCTCGTGGGTTCCTGTCATTTAGTCTATTGCCTACCCTCTTTGTCCATTGCAACCAACCGCTTTCACCAATTGTATCTTGTCTTCTTTGTCTATAGCTTTGTCGGTCTATTTTAATAATCGGCCTACAGTCTAGATCCTCATAAGGAGGACGTCATTGAATTTTAAATTTTACCATCCCTCGCCTCATTACGACTCCAAACGGAGACTTTCTATTAAAAACACTCGCTTGTCCCTCGAACGGAAGTGATCAGGATCATATCTGAATGAAATAATGGGAAGTTGTGGGTCGTCGCGTCGGGCGGCGACTTATCTTCAAAAGAGATCGTCGAGAGCTTCGCCCTTGCTGTCACTCAAAGCTCGGTGATTAAATGACGTGCGTAAAAAGTACCTGCTCCTCGCCGTGGTACATCTTCATTGTGAGTGCCCGGCCGTTCATTCAGCCGTTTCGTAACTCTTGTCGGAGCTTCATTCACAAGCGACAAATTGCGTTTCATTGTCCCATTCAGCTCGGTTCAACGGCGGCGCTAGAAGTGTTACTGTTCGGACCTCAAACAGTCGAACAGTACTTGCGTTATTCTCATCGGGTTATTTCCCGAGTGGGATTAAGCTCTTATTAGAATAACTATGATATGCGTGTTTCATTTTGCAAGAGAGCCCTACCTGTAACGGCTCTCTCGTCCGGGGCTGTTGCCAACCGCGCAAAGCAATAATTCCCATACTGCCATGCTAAGGAAAAACGCCGTATGAACCTTCAGGCGTTGCCAAATTTCGATGGATAAAACACGAATTTCCTGGTAAACTCATGAATATTTTTCTTTCAATTTCTCAGATAATTTGGTTAGTAATTTGATCTAAAGTGTCTGAAAATTTCGAGGAAAAATATTCATAACTTTCCTCAAAAAGAAACGTTTTATTGAAGGAAATTTGGCAACTCTCGAATGTTCATACCGCGTTTTTCCTTAGCACGGTAGCATAGTACGCCCACTTTAACATAGTTTCTTATGCAGCTTTCTAGAGCTCGCCCCATCTTTCTGACTCGTCTATGGCTCCGTCAGGCAGAAATACGTCCATTTCACGGAAAAAACGAGTTTAGGGCTGGTACCTGCGCCGAAGGTCCCAGCCCTAACCGGGTAGGTAAAATTGCTTCACCTCCACCGCCATAGGAGCAGGCCCGGCGCGCGTAGAGCCCAAATCTACCTGCTCCAGGGTTCAGCCCTACCTGGTAAGAGCTAGACCCTGTCCAGGTACCCGTCCAACACGAAATATTGCAGCAATATTGTCAATATTGAAACAATATTGTCATGTAAATATTTCCTTAAATACACTGCAGAAATATATTGACAATATTGCTAAAATATTTCATGACAATATTGTAACAATATATTTATAAAAATGTTTTAAATATATTTACAAAATATATTTATGTAATTACTTTTAAAACAGTTTGTAAAATATATTTACAAAATATTTTAAAATTATTTTAGAAATATTAGTTTAAAAATATTTGTTTAATATTATGTTAAAAATATTTTATAAATATTTT